GGAAGTAAGGAGTATGCATTTGCCAGTGCTCCTGAAATGCTATCCAGATTTCTTCCATTTTCTGACAGATTTAGCTCCAGTTTATTATAAAATTCTATAACAATTCAGAAGAGAAAGATGTGTTAAAGATCTAAAATATGAAATCAGAAGGTGCAGGGCAGGGGGCTGGAGGGATGTGCAAAGATTCTTGAAAAGGAAAGAGACCTATTTTAAATGCAAACTGGTGTTCTTAACATAATATACTTTTAAAAGCACAGTAAGGAGGTAGTCGCCAATGTACCACAAAGTGGAGAGTTTGGTTTGTCTTACGGGCATCTATGCAAGGTAGTAACAAGCCACTTTCAGAATATGAGCATTATGGTCCTCAAAGTAAAAACTCACATTTAATGTGAATATTCAGGCCGGGCGCAGTGGCTCATGCCTGTAATCCCAGCACTTTAGGAAGCCAAGGCAGGTGGGTTGCTTGAAGTCAGGAGTTCGAGACCAGCCTGGCCAAAATGGTGAAATCCCATCTCTACTCAAAATACAAAAAATTAGCCAGGCACAGTGATGGGCACCTGCAATCCCAGCTACTCAAGAGACTGAGGGAGGAGAATTGCTTGAGCCCTGGTGGTGGAGGTTGCAGTGAGCCAAGATCGTGGCACTGCACTCCAGCTTGGGCAACAGAGCAAGACTCTGTCTCAAAAAAAAAAAAAAAGTGAGTGTTCAAACTTGAGTTGCCCAGTTTCTCTACATAAACTAATCAAATGAACTAGGTAACTATCCAATAACCATATTGTTTTATATCTTAATGCAAACTGGCCCAAAAGTCAAAAGACAGGGTTCAAGTTTTCACTCTGCCACTTACGAATTTAGCCTTTTTTGGTTATACTTTCTTCATATATGCAAAGAACTAACAATTTTGGTACTATGTGGCTTATTGATTTTTTAATATTTAAATTTTCAAGGGAAAAATTATGATAAAGTTCTCAATGCATGTACACGCATAGATTTAGTCAATGTGCTGTATGTTATTTTGTGTTTTACTTCTTTTTCCAAGTTTTGAATTTTCTTCTGTCAACATCATACACATTTATCACTGCTTTGTCAGTGACTCAGCAGTTTTTATATCTGAGTTGTCTTCTCAATTATTAAATATGTATCATGTTTCTAGCTTTTTTCTGCTATAAAAAGTGTTATTATGTCTGTCTTCATACAAATTGTTTCTTTTTCTTTTGGTTTACTTCATTGCAACGTGTTCCTTGGAACAAGTTGCTTAGTTCTGGGGGTTTTTTCTGTTTTGTTTTAGTTTTTGTTTTTTTTTTTTTTTGGAGACCAAGTGTCACTCTATTACCCAGGCTGGAGTGCAGAGGCACAGTCTCGGCTCACTGCAACCCCCCTTCTACTGAACTCAAGGCATCCTCCTTTCTCAGCCTCTGGAGTAGTTGGGACCACAGGTGCATGCCAATATGCCTGGCTAATTTTTTGTATTTTTTGTAGAGATGGGACTTTGCCATGTTGCCTGGGCTGCTCTCGAACTCCTGAGCTCAAGCAATCCGCCCACCTAGGCCTCCCAAAGTGTTGGGATTACAGGTGTGAGCCACCGTGCCCGGCCAGCTCTGTTTATTGCCAAGTTGCACTTCAGGAGGCGGGGAACCTATGGATTCTGCTGTTTCTCTGGGGCCCCTCCCACATTGTCTTTCAACCTTTTGGTGTATGAATTAATAGAGAAGCAGCAGTAATTGTTAAATTGAAGCTGTTTGTCAGGATAGTTCAACATTTTTCAGTATCTCGTTTTCTAACTATATTTCTCTGTCTCTTGCCTCAGCCTTTCCACATTATGGATGTAACTTTTATGGGTATATATCTTTTAATTGTTTTTATCTTTCTGTTGTACTTCCTTTCATCTTAGTTTTGTTACTGTCCATCATATGGAACACTTTAATATAATTAAACCCATGCGTGTCACTAGCATCTTCTTATACAGCTGAGAGAGTCTATTTCATTTCTTTCTAAAGTTTTTTGGAGATGTTTAAAATTCTCAACTATGTAACTCATCTAGAATTTATTGTGGCCTGTGAGAATCAAGAAATATATTGAGAAGAGTAAAGGATTTAGAATTTTAAAAACTAAACAATTTGAGTCCAACAGCACTAGCTTAAACAGCTTTAAAGAAATCACTAATCACTTAACATCTTAAGACAGCATCCTCTACTAGATTGAAAACAGGAACTTTGTCTTATTTCTCTTTGAATTTTCTACAAAATCCAGCAAAGTACTCTGTATATAGGATGAATGTTAATATGTCTGTATTTAAGTTATATTTTTGCATATTGCTATTAAATTGTTCCAATAGCATTTATTAAACAACGATCTACTTCCCAATTATTTATTTGGTTGCTTACAATGGATCATTATATCAGTGACACTCAGATTTCTTGTAATGGCAAAGCACCTGGAAGTTACAGCATTCTTTTCTGAACATTGTGAAATACGGAAAAATTAAACTTAAAATAATGAAAATTACAATTTGATGCTAAATCAGATAACTAGCTTATACCAGATTCTAGTATAGTGTAGAAACCGTAAGATTAGACACCAACAGTTGTTTTTAAGTAATGGGAGAAATATTAAAATTAAGAACATTCTATCCAATAACTTAATTCCTTATAAGAATCAGGAAAAAAAAAAAGCCAATGAAACAGCAAGTTCGTCAAGAACAAAAGTTGAAAATCATAATGTATATAAAGCATTACCAGTTGAGACAATATAAATAAAAACCTCTGATAAAATGTAAACACTATATAAACATGAAGTCCAGCTGAACTAGGCTGAACTCTAGCTGAACCCAAAAACTTCTTAAGATCAGTCTTTTGAGTTACCATGGATGGAATTCCTGCCATATTAGAAAGTATAAGAGAGAGTGGATGTCAGACCTCCAGAGCATGCTTCACACCAGCAGCCTGACCTAAGGACACTTCTCTTCATTGATCTATAAATCAGAAAGGATATGACACAAAAGGGACTCACAGCTTCACATTCTACCATATTGCAGAGTATGGACTTCACAAAGCAAACAAGGAGGAGGTGTGTTGGAACCATCAGAAAGAACTGCTGTGTTCTTTGTGTTCTGAGAACCTTGCCAGCACGACAGGCTAGATTCCTGTGCTCTGCACAGTAATCATGAAGAGGTGGATGAGAATGTCTGTTAAGGCTGTTGGAACCCTCTGCAAGCAACATTGTTTTGCTATGCTAATTAATATTTTTCATTGAGGCCGGACATGCTGGCTCACACCTGTAATCGCAGTACTTTGGGAGGCCGAGGTGGGCAGATCACTTGAGGTCAGGAGTTCGAGACCAGCCTGGCCAACATGATGAAACCCTATCTCTACAAAAAATACAAAAATTTGCTGGGCATAGTGGTGCACACCTGTACTTGGGAGGCTGAAGCAGGAGAATAGCTTGAACCTGGGAGGCAGAAGTTGCAGTGAGTAGAGATCGCACCACTGCCCTCCAGCCTGGACAACAGCGAGACTATCTCAAAAACAAAAAAGGATCATATGCTATAGTGTAAAAAAAAATTTACAAAAAAAAAAACCTATTGGAACACGAAGTAAGAAATCTAGGGTTGGGTACTACCTGGCCACTTGATCTGAGATGAGCCATTCAATTTTATGGGCCTCAGTTCCTTTTCTGGAAAAAAAAAAACAAAATGGGTATTTAGAATGGATGGATCTGATAGTCTTTTTTTTTTTTTTTTT